GATACTTGAATATCTAAAGAAATATTCAACTCGAAATTTTCAAGATAAACCAGGTATTCCGGAAGCTCAATTTTTATTGACGGCGCCATTATATGAATCATGTTAGATCCAAGCAATGTAACGTTCCCAAATGAGAACAAGGTCAACAGCAATGGAAATCGAGCAAACACTAACGAGCATCAAATATGTATATAGAATATTTCCTAAGGCGATTATGATTTTTTTTATAGTTTATAATTTGTATCATCATTTGATTTATTAGACCTCGTTTGATCGTGAGAATCACTACTTCAGTTCGAATCATGCATATTTTAGGCACAGTGACAATTTGATCAAACTAGCTGTATAATAATGTATTACTAAAAAGCAGTAGACCAATCTATGGTCGAAAGGTCATTCAGTTAAACATAAAAACCAATGTTTCAATAAAAACCACCTGTTTTCAATTATTAGGTGTAATTTTTTAAGTCCAGAGTTCATCAACGCTTTTATATATAGACACCAAAAACGTATATAGTCTCTCAGACTAAACTCTAATTGGATAGAATGAGTCATTCCGTAGACACGTCCATATACCTCAAAGCAACCGACGCCGAGTATTCAAAGACGAATTGTTGGAAAGAATAATCATATTTAGTTGAATACACAATCGCGACCAATCAGCTGCGTCATTGCTTGTTCTAAAACTAGGACAAAGAATACGGGAATATTGATAGATACCACAAGGTAGTTATGTTGCAGTGAAATATAAAAATATAATTGATATGTATCTTAGCAATTGAAAAGTCAATTGAGGGCAGTTTATTATCATCAACTTTCTGTTTATGTATTAAAGTCGTTAAGGTAAATAGATATATTTCATTTCACCGATCAATCCTAATCTCAAACAGGAAATTGTCATAGATAATTTTGACCTTTGGCCTTTCACCTATTTTTGCTTGTAAAGACAATGCCTGCAATAGATTGGCACTCTGTATGAAATCAAAGTACAAAAGGAATCATCAATAGTAAGAGATCAAAGCACTAAGCATACTGTTTTCCAAAATAATGCTGTATAACGTTAATTTTGAACTATACTGGAAAAACAGAAGTTGAACTTTTGGAAAACATTACTTATTGTTATCAATAGTATGTGTCCACAGGATCCCAGGAGGTTTTTAAGGAAAATTTTACAATTGTTAACCTATAAAAAATCTAAACTGAATTTATAGGAATGTTTTACATGGTTGACGCCTGTTACCTTGAAAGTGGGTCAAGGTCATTTATATTATCAAACTCGATCGACAATTATCTTAGCATTATTTTTGTGATGTATCGAATCTCTAGGCCTTTCCAAACTTGAGAAGAAGTTTCGTACATGTAGATATCCTATATTAAAGTTTTGAACTTTGACCCTTCAGAAAAACCGGAAGTTGGTCTTTTGTGGAATTTTTGCTTAAACCGAACAAAAAGAAATCTCTACAGAAGATTTTTTCCTCTTAAAAAGTAAGAAGACGTCATTTAGTGAAATTAATATAATTGACCCCTGTGACCTTGAAAGTGGGTCAAAGTCATTCATATCAACAACATTTATGGGCATTTATATAAACGTAATATTTATTAGATATCAAGTATATAGGTCCTTCCAGACTTGAGAAGAAGTTACGTATACATTGGTACCCTACATTGAAGTTTTGAACTTTCAACCCCTTAGTAAAACTGGAATTAGGTCTTTTATACAAGTTTTGCTTATTCCAATCAAAAGCAAGTCTCAGCAAAAGGTTGTTGACCTAATCACGTAACTATTTTCCTCTTCAAAAATAAGAAAACGTCATTTAATGATATCAATATGATCGACCTCCGTGACCTAGAAAGTTGGTCAAGGTCATTGATATTAACAAACTTAATAGACAATTACCTTAGCAATATATTTATGAACTATCGAACATTTAGGCCTTTCCAAACTTGACAAGAAATTTCGGGTAGTTTCGTACCCTAAATTGCACTTTTGAACTTTGACCTCTAAGGAAAACCAGAAGTTTGTCTTTTATGGAAGTTTTGCTTATACCAATCAAATGTCTCCATAGAAGGTTGTTAACCGAATCATGTAGTTGTTTTCCTCTTCAAAAGTTAGAAAACGTCATATACTTATATAAATATAATTGTTCCCTGTGATCTTGAAAGTAGGTCAATGTCTTCCATATTTACAACAATAATAGACAATCACATTACCTTCATATGTGTCTGATATCAAGACTCTAGGTCCTTTCAATCTTGAGAAGACGTTTCGTATCAATTGAAGTTTTGAACTTTGACCTCTATGGAAAATCGGATTTTTTTTTTTTTTTTTTTTTGAATTTTTGCTTAAAGTAGTCAAATGCAATTCTCTACAGGAGGTTGTTAATCAAAGCATGCAACTGTTTTACTCTTGAAAAGTAAGAAAACGTCATTTAATGTTATTAATATAATTAACCCATGTGACCTTGAAAGTAAGTCAAGGCCGTCAATATTTCCAAATCTAATGGACAATTACCTTAGCATTATGTAGGTGTAATATCGAACGTCTAGACCTTTCCAAACTTGAGAAATAGTTTCTGGTAGTTTGATACCCTAAATTGCCCTTTTGAATTTTGACCCCTACGGAAAACTGGAAGCGCGCAAGGGGTCTTATTGTGGGAGGAAACCGGAGTACCCGGGGAAAACCCACGTGGTCGGGCAGGTGACCCCTTACCTTTTCTAGTCCGTTCCGGGAATCGAATCCTGGTCGGCTAGGTGAAAGGCGCCATCCGACCATTAATTAATTACTTAATGAAGTAATGACGTAAAACGTCAAAGAAAGAATTTTTATTAACATTTATGTGAAAAAAATAGATGACCCTCCTCCGCATGAAATATATTTATAGCCAATTTGTAGTTTTCGAGTTATTGATGTTTTCAGAATTTCTGGTAATTGGGTCATGGCGGCCATATTGGATTTTTAACCTACTTAAAAATGCGGCATTAACAAGTTCAGATGTACTTCCATAACATACTATATAGGCTGCGTGCTTATCCCTTACCGTTTAAAAGATTGTGAACCCTCAAATTCGGAAGAACAATTATAAGAAATATAACAAAAACAATTGGTCTTTTAGCTTTTGGTAAAACGCGCTAATTATCCCCTAAGAATATCATAATCATACTTTTTAATTCCTAACGCGCTAAAAATAACAGGACACGTTTATTACGTCAGCTTCCGAATGGTGAAGATAACATTGAAATTGACACATAAATGGTTACGTCATAACAGCCATTACACTGGTTTTTTTAAATGACCATGTCATGTTGTCTTATCAATATTTGAGTGACAGAAAATGAAGATAAAAACAGCTGACATATTCGTTTGTATCTATATATTTTTTAAATTTTGAATACAGTCAGTCAACAACAGCTTTATTCAAACTTAAATAACAATTTGGCAAAATATGAACAAATGCACAAGTCGTGAAAAGTTACTACTACATGGTAATGATAACGAATCCAATTGAAACAATATGTTTGAATAAAAAAAATACATATTGTTGGAAAAATGTTCCGAGCTGAAAAAAGAAAAATTGATCCTGATAAATGGCTGATGTAGAACTGGTGGATATATAAAAAGGACGTGATTAACGAATGCTTTTGTCATCTACAGAAAGACACCGTCATTATATAAGTGAATTGGAATGGCCTGACACAATATCGTCCTCGTCTTTTTTTGATACGCTTTGAGACAAACTCAGCCTCGTGTGAAAACGAGAAACAAGTCAACCAAAAGTGGAACACGATGTGTTCTCATAGATATGTCAACAATTTCTTACAGGATCTTACCATGCACCATCAAACTGGACGAAGATACATCGTCAACTATAAACTCAATCGATTTCGTCCCTGATTCTGATGCATTTTCCACGAAACACGAGTCCGTATATTTCATAAACAACATATGATATATGCCAGCGAAATTTAAGAACGTATTCATTTAAGAGACGTCATACTCAAACCCAGGACCCCGATTTACCAGTCGAGCTGAAGAGAAAATTCTTCCTAGTGCGGCTAATATTTTACAAGGGCCCATCACTAGGATACAAAACTTAAATCCCTTACGATAAAATAAATCTAACTTAATTGCTGGTGATGACATCATATCGTATTTTGACCAATCGGAACGATGCTTTTTATTCACTGCATTAAATTAACCGATTTTCCTGTTTGGTCGCAAATGAAGCAAAGATTGAATACATTCAAATGAAACATTGCTGTTTATTTATTATTATTATTATTTTTTCTATTTTTCTCTTATTTTGTTTAAAACTATTTTTGTGAGTGATTCTTACCAGGTAGAATGGTGGAAAACCTTGAAGCATTTAGTAAAAATGGCTCCGTCTTGTTGTCAAGGGTTACGTCAAATGATGTATATCTATTGTTAAGGAACGCGGTATAGTATATCCCGAACACTTTTAAACATCGCTTTATTTTCGGGCCAGCTTCCTGTCATTTGTTTTCATTTACAAATATAAAAAAAGGATATTTATTGATTTTTTTTATAACTGAATACATATGTTTATCTATATTATTCGAGCTAAAAATAAATATTCTGTCATACTCACGGAATATCTACGGTATGAAATGAAAGACCATTTAATGGCCTCCATACATTCAACTCCATGTTATGAAATGTTAAAGAAAAGAAGACTCGCTAGATAGAACTGCTAATGAAATGTAAACGGGCTTAAATTCCTTGTGTACTGTGGGTGTCAAATTTCCGTAACATCTAAATAATAGATAATGATTTATTCTCAAATATCAACTTGAGGACACGCCTCAGGAATCGGGTCAATAGTAAGATTTGAATTATGACAAGTCCTACTTTTCAATGTGTGTTTGGTGTGGACGATGAACCTTCAACAAAATTATGGCTGAAGCTCAATAAAATAATTTTGGTCCATGTTAAATTTCAACGAGCAGATTTCTATGTAGATAATATTTGGTTTTAGTTGCAAATGAATCAAGAAAAAAGAATCAGAACTAGAACTGTTGTTCGGAGGGACAACCCATACCCCCACCCTGGTCAACCCATACCCCCACCCTGGTCAACCCATACCCCCACCCTGGTCAACCCATACCCCCACCCTGGTCAACCCATACCCCACCCGGGTCAACCCATACCCCCACCAAGGTCAACCCATACCCCCATCCAGGTCCCCATACCCCCACCCAGGTCAACCCATACCCCCATCCGGGTCAACCCATACCCCCACCCGGGTCAACCCATACTCCCACTCGGGTCAACTAAAACCCCCACCCTGGTCAACCAAAACCCCCACAAGGGTCAACCCATACCCCCACCCGGGTCAACCCATACCCCACAAGGGTCAACCAAAACTCCCACAAGGGTCAACCAAAACTCCCACAAGGGTCAACCAAAACCCCCACAAGGGTCAACCCATACCCCCACCCGGGTCAACCCATACCCCACAAGGGTCAACCAAAACTCCCACAAGGGTCAACCAAAACTCCCACAAGGGTCAACCAAAACTCCCACAAGGGTCAACCAAAACCCCCACAAGGGTCAACTAAAACCCCCACAAGGGTCAACCAAAACCCCCACAAGGGTCAACCGTAATCGTAGAATGATTAAATGGTTGTTAACTTTGGTGACATGCAATGTATATTATATTGGTGTTAAATCTGAACATGTTTGTACACATCTTCAGTGATGGACAAGCCAAAGAAATGTTTAAACGTTTGACATAGTCATAAAGATTAAACACGGGCTAATATGACGAATTCAACAAACAACAAACAAATATGGAGGAATTATGTGTAAAATAACCCGCTGGGTTGGTCTATTTATAGAAATGAAACTTAATCTTATATGAGACAAGCATTTTCGCAGGTCAATTATCTTATGTTATCATCAAATAACCTAAAATAATTTATGTGACTTTGCAACGTCATCTTCGATTGGCTAATGCAGCAGTGTAAGAAATTGCCAAAGAATCCTTTCTAAATGTATATATTGCAAAGAGAAATAACTCTGTGAAAAGGAAAAATAAATTAACCCCGATATGGAAAGGGGAGATAACTCCTTTCCAAATGAGCATCATTTTCCGAAGAGGGGAGATAACTCAATCTGATATAGATTATGCACATTTATAATGTACATCTATATGGATTATAACCGACAGGTATTGTTGAAATCAATTCAGTGGTTTAGGAAGAGTAGCCGGTACATCGTTGCATTTACAGGCGAACGGACGGACGGAAAACCTGATTCCAGTATACTCCGTAACTTCGTTGTGGTAGGGGGGATTTTATGAAATTGGATTTTGAAATATCATGAACCATAATTAAACATCGGAATTACATTACATTTGTCATACATTACAGCTTCATTACAGTTTCAGTATACTAAACGTCATACAGGATTATAATTTATCTGAATTCCTGCCCATCATAAAGATTTATAATTAATATAAATCCCCACCCATCATACAGATTTGTAATTAATATCAATTCACCACCCATCATACAGATTTGTAATTAATATCAATTCCCACCCATCATACAGATTTATAATTAATATCAATTCCCACCCATCATACAGATTTATAATTAATATCAATTCCCCACCCATCATACAGATTTATAATTAATATCAATGCCCACCCATCATACAGATTTGTAATTAATATCAATTCACCACCCATCATACAGATTTGTAATTAATATCATTTCACCACCCATCATAAAGATTTATAATTAATATCAATTCCCCACCCATCATACAGATTTGTAATTAATATCAATTCACCACCCATCATACAGATTTGTAATTAATATCAATGCCCACCCATCATACAGATTTGTAATTAATATCAATTCCCCACCCATCATACAGATTTGTAATTAATATCAATTCCCACCCATCATACAGATTTGTAATTAATATCAATGCCCACCCATCATACAGATTTATAATTGATATAAATCCCCACCCATCATACAGATTTATAATTGATATAATTGATCCCCACCCATCATACAGATTTGTAATTAATATAAATCCTCACCCATAATTAATATCAATTACCACCCACAGATTTATAATTAATATCAATTCACCACCCATCATACAGATTTATAATTTATATAAATCCCCACCCATCATACAGATTTATAATTGATATAAATCCCCACCCATCATACAGATTTGTAATTAATATAAATCCTCACCCATCATACAGATTTATAATTGATATAAATCCCCACCCATCATACAGATTTGTAATTAATATCAATTCACCACCCATCATACAGATTTGTAATTAATATAAATCCTCACCCATCATACAGATTTATAATTGATATAAATCCCCACCCATCATACAGATTTGTAATTAATATAAATCCTCACCCATCATACAGATTTGTAATTAATATCAATTCACCACCCATCATACAGATTTGTAATTAATATCAATTCACCACCCATCATACAGATTTATAATTTATATAAATCCCCACCCATCATACAGATTTATAATTGATATAAATCCCCACCCATCATACAGATTTGTAATTAATATAAATCCCCACCCATCATACAGATTTATAATTAATATCAATTCACCACCCATCATAAAGATTTATAATTAATATCAATTCCCCACCCATCATACAGATTTATAATTAATATCAATTCACCACCCATCATAAAGATTTATAATTAATATCAATTCACCACCCATCATAAAGATTTATAATTAATACCCATCATACAGATTTGTAATTAATATAAATCCCCACCCATCATACAGATTTGTAATTAATATCAATCCCCACCCATCATACAGATTTATAATTAATATCAATTCACCACCCATCATAAAGATTTATAATTAATATCAATTCCCCACCCATCATACAGATTTGTAATTAATATCAATTCCCCACCCATCATACAGATTTATAATTAATATCAATTCACCACCCATCATAAAGATTTATAATTAATATCAATTCCCCACCCATCATACAGATTTATAATTAATTAATATCAATTTGTAATTAATATCAATTCCCCACCCATCATAAAGATTTTTAATTAATATAAATCCCCACCCATCATACATATTTGTAATTAATATCAATTCCCCACCCATCATACAGATTTATAATTAATATCAATTCCCCACCCATCATACAGATTTGTAATTAATATCAATTCACCACCCATCATACAGATTTATAATTAATATCAATTCCCCACCCATCATACAGATTTGTAATTAATATCAATTCCCCACCCATCATACAGATTTATAATTAATATAAATCCCCACCCATCATACAGATTTATAATTAATATCAATTCCCCACCCATCATACAGATTTGTAATTAATATCAATTCCCCACCCATCATAAAGATTTTTAATTAATATAAATCCCCACCCATCATACATATTTGTAATTAATATAAATCCCCACCCATCATACAGATTTGTAATTAATATCAATTCCCACCCATCATAAAGATTTATAATTGGAGGACGAAACAGCTGTATGATGTAGCATCATTGATGAGTCCTAGAAGGACGAAACAGCTGTATAATGTAGCATCACTGACGAGTCCTAGAAGGATGAAACAGCTGTATGATGTAGCATCACTGATGAGTCCTAGAAGGACGAAACAGCTGGATGATGTAGTTTAATTCTACTATGTCTTAAAAGTGTGTTTTACTTGTGTATCTTTTGTACAATCTTCAGGATGACACTGTAAAACCACAATGATATTGCTGCAAAAATGAAGGTCTTCTGGAGTTGGCTTTCGGACTTGATAAGAATAAACGAGACACAGGATATATATTCTTACAACAAAACCCACATCAGCAATATCATTTAATGTGCATCATTTTTTTATGTTTCAGGTAAGACTGAGCAAGAAAAGCAGAAGATTTATGTGGAAAGTATTGGTTTTCGTCCCGGCTTTGTTAACTTTATGGTACGTTAATGGCAATGTAACTGAAATCAATGAGAGCCTTGAGCTAGAATTTACACTACAGGACGTACATATCTCTCATCCACTTTTGACTTATCCAAACATGAATTGCAAGCAACAAGTTCCTAAAAGTGTTATTATCACCGTCATCAGCAAAGTATCAAATGTTGTACAACGCGAGACCATACGCCGAACTTGGGGAAATCTTCAGATGCAAGCAAAATACAACTTCAGTTTGTATTTTCTGTTGGGAACTGAGGAAAATTTTGACCTAAAAGACGAGATCATATTAAATGGGGATATTATACAGGCCGATATTATGGAAGATTATTATCACTTAACCGAGAAGTCAATCGAAGCATTCAAATGGATAACACTCTTCTGTCATAAAGCGGACTACTTTTTCAAAACTGATGATGACGTCTTTTTCGACCTTGAATTTCTAAGAGAAGTTCAGAATGATGGTGACTATCTGATGGATGACGTCATCCTTGGCCACTGTGTGTTTAAAGGTATGCCATCGAGAGTAGAAGGTACGAAGTATGAAATAACTAAGGACGAGTATCCTTTTAGGTTCTATCCGCCATATTGCGGGGGGCCAGGTTATCTCATGACGTTGAATACCGCACGAAAGATATACAGCGAGATGTTAACGACAAGGAACTTCAAATATGAAGATGTCTATTTAGGAATTGTTATTTATAGGTTAGGTCTGAAACTGAAACACATCGATTGTTTTGTTTATTTAAAGAACGAGAAAAAAGAAAAAGAATTAGAAAAGAACAGTGAACAGTATTGCAATGTTCGATGTTCAAGAGTGATACATGGGTTGAAGCCCGGTGACATCCAACACTATTGGGATACTCTCGGCACTGAGAGACGAAATAGAAAAAACTGTGATGATTTAGAAGTTCACTAACTTCATTATAGCAAATGAAATGTGATACCATGACTATATGTATTTAATCATTTTCCTTATTAAGATTTATTTTAATATTTTTATTTTTCATTTTTACCTTTTTACCAGGTGCACGAACATGTGATTATTTTTTTCAAAAAACGCTTCTTATTTAATTCTCCACTATATTTTTTTATGTTTTAATATAAAATCGCCCGTGTGACGTTTAATGTTTTTGTATGAATAAAGTCATTTGAAAGACATTTGTTTTGATGGTTTAGTTCATGGTATAACTTGCTTGATTTCTTCCATTCATTTATCGTTAAGGTACGTCTTCAAAACCAGGAAATTAATATTTTGTATCTCAAACGAGAATGGTGATTTTTTAAAATTATTAATGAAATATAGACTTCTAATCAGTCACTGGAGTAATAGTTAACAGAACTCATAATGTTTTCCAACAAGTTTTAAAGGTCACGGAAATTGTGACATAAGTCCCCCAAACTTCCCTACATCACAACGTAGTCACAAATGTAATAAGGTGTCTGACCTCTGGTGACCAGAGTGAAAGTCGTGCACGAGCCGTGTTTACAGGAGACGACACTGGACAATAAATTGCTAGTGATAGTCAACAGAGGCAAGAAGGATTGACTTTTTGACGATGTTAACTTTTCATGGTGAGATGAAGGATATAGACTAAAAATCCAAAAGTATGTAATTTCTACAACACTACAACAGATTCATATGAATGTAGCTAGTTTCTAACCTTGCACTCTATCCGTATCCTTAATTCTCGTTGGAAATCCCAACTAGCGGTTTTTATTCAATGAAGAAAATAGCTTTCATACACTATACAGAAAATATGTTAATGTATAGATTCTGCCACTTAGCTTTGGGGACTTTAGATATGATAAGTGAAAAACAAACCTGTTTTGTTTAGGTTAAAGGTAGGTCACTGCATGACTTTGAAAAGGTATTCAGATCGATCGAGTTTAGTGTTATTGATAATATTTCATTTCAGGGAGTCTTTATGTAAATCGTTGGAAGTTTGTTTATGAGAATTCCAAAAGCCGAACAATAAACAATGACTCGTCACATTTCTTTTTAATTGGGCTGAGGTTGTTGTCAAGGCAACCCATTGTCTCCATACGTGTGACATATATGATATATCATTTCAGCTATTTGATTAAATGCGAGTTCCTACATAGTCTGTATTTATCTTCACGATGACACTACCCGCTCTCTATACACTGCAGTGGACATTTTTGAATTGTCACTGATTTAACTTTAAATTCTCAAAGGCCTTCTCTGTAATTGATGGGAATTGAATATCATTTTAAAAAAAAATGAAAAATAATTATAAATATTAGTATAACCTGGTCAAACAGAAATTTCAAATTATATTAGGTTTACTTTAACTATAGACAACTTAGAACATGTGAACAATGAAATTAACCTACAGCAACTAGACCTGTCCAGACCTTAATGTATTGGGGCGTGTTACTATCATCGAAATTATCTTTTATTATTAAAATCATGCATCTGTTTAATTCACTTCTAAACTCTTAAAGATCCTATCTAGAATGAAGGAATCAAATTTATATGCTTTCATCTGGAATTTTATAACGGACATTTTTATTACAAATAGGGGAGAGAATGAGCTTACCATGAACCATTTTTTTTCATTAAAAATCTGAAGTGAAATAGATCACTATGTAATTTGAGAAAACCTTGAGAACCTTTTTTGAAAGAAATTCTACCCTTTGAAATCGAAATGTTGTATGATCTTGATAAAAAGAGAAAATAAATGAAGTATGAAAATATACATTGTTCATGGCGAGATATTATCGGTAAATTGTTATGAATTCAACGAGACTACAATGTTTTATTACACAAGAGAAATGATATTATACAACATCCGGGGATCTTTTCTATAATTCGAAAATTGAAAAATGAAATTAATTAGAAGCAGTAAAGTTTAGTTGATATATTCTTTAGAAAATAAAATATACTGGTAGCACGCACACTGAAATGAAAAAATAACATAATGAAGCTAACACATGTCACGTGTGTTGATTTTACTTTACTTCACAACAAATTTGTTCAACGTTGTAACAAACCCCAAAGGAATTAAGAAAATAAAAATCTGTTATAAAAATAGATGATAATTTTAACTGGCATGATAAAAATGCCGTGAAACATAGATATGGAAACTGATTTTGAGAAAATTTTATGAAAATAAAATTAGCTACGAACTGATTATACATTTTGTAATAGCATAAGCAGAAATGTGCTGTTATTTCCCTGTTCACTGCTGGTACGTACAAACATTATTTGAATAGTCTAATAAATGATGCACTAAATATGATTATTTACGCAAATATTACGACTTAGATGTTTTTCACTGTTGTCAAGAGCATTTAAAAAAACATCACATACATAAAACTTCCCCGATAAAGGCTCCATGTTCAAACACGTAAGATTTTTTTTTTTCAAAAAGATTTCAAACGTACCACGAACAGGTTTGCCAAAACCTGCTGAAATGTTAGTTAGATAGGTAGGAGATAACTACAGGTAATTTGAGCACAGTGGCTGCCCATCAATTCGCTTGGAGTCCCAGTCTGGTAATTAGATTTCAGAGACTACCAGGTTTACCTATGGTATAGTCACGTGACATCAGTAACACTTGACACTTGAAATAGAATATTATCACAAACAGTGATTGAATTTGATGAAGATTAATTGTAAGAGCTGATCTATGTTCTTTAACCTTGGTAAGCAAAACTAATATTATGGGATTTTTCTTTTGTGATTGTGTTTCTAAACATGAAAGCGACACTCACGCTATGATCAATGTAATGCCTGATTCTATTTCTATTTCAAAATACTTTGTATTGTTATCGTTATTCATCATCATTCAATATTCAAAAAGCCATGAAATCTACATGTGTGTGCGTAGACGACTGTCCTGGATAGGTTTGTCCTGACATCAATCATCCCGAACAGGTACGCCCACCTCCACCAATCAGGAGCGTCGTTTTACACCGAACTTAATGATCTTAATCATTCGCTCACGGCTGTTGAAAACATAATTGATTATCAAAATTGTCTGTGTAAGTATGCAAATATACCGTGATACTTATGAAGTGGTACGTGTGTGTACATGTTGGATGAACATATTGATGGAGCCAACATTATGTTTTCTAATATTGTGTAAGTAATCTGAATAGATAGGTATAAAACTATTTACTTGTGAAGACAAACGGAATGTCATCTGATTCAAATTTCTTCAGAATAAGAATGACTGATGATATAATGTCAAATTTATTTACTTTTGTAAAAAGACAACAACAACGAAAAAAAATACTACTAAAAGTTTTTTTTTCTGTTAACACTTCAAAACGCACGTAGTCCAGTGAGATAACACTTTAGTGTAAACAACGAACGTCTTCAAATGTTGAGACTTCAAACCGTTACGATAAAAAAGTAGAAAAAAAAAACTTGAGATGTCTTGTTGTTCTTGGTATCAAACACACAACAACCGTTAGTCTTGCGCCTTAAACTGAAATCTGACAACAGCAAAAAAATGTCATCATAATTTCAACGATATCCTTTCAGGACATCTCACTTCAAAGTTACGCAACCATGTACAGATAAAAGTGAAGATTCTTCACCTGTTAGTCCTATCACAATTTTTGCGTGAACGCGCACATTATTTAATATATTTCAGCCCCGGTTTATGTTGTGTACAAACATTTCTTCAGTCATGATATAAAATCTGACACATTTGCTAAGAAATACTATTCATCATTCATAAAATTTCATTCACGTCATTTTAATATCATTTCGTGTGACAAATGTATGTGTTCAATATATATGTGTGTGTGTGTGTGTGCGTGTGTGTATGGCTGTGTTGTGTGTGTTTGTGTGTTTGTGTTCGTGTGTGTGTGTGCGTGTGTATATGGCTGTGTTGTGTGTGTTTGTGTGTGCGTGTGTGTGCGTGTGTGTGTTTGTGTGTGTGTGTGTGTGTGTGTGTGTGTGTGTGTGTGTGTGTGGGTGTGGGTGTGTGTGTTTGTGTGTGTGTGTGTGGTTGTGTGTGTGTGTGTGTGTGTGTGTGTGTGTGTGTGTGTGTGTGTGTGTGAGGGTGTGTGTGTGTGTGTGTGTGTGTGTGTGTGTGTGTGTGTGTGTGTGTGTGTGTGTGGGTGTGTGTGTGCATTCATATTTATATATCTATATAATAGATATAACAGTAAATGCGGTCATATTGAATTTCGCGATTCCGAAATGTTGCTTTACGTGATAAAAAATCTGTTAATGAATGGTTCTTTATCTATGTACTTCGTAACTTTTTTGAAGGGTGTGCTTGAAATCGTAATGATGATGATTATTAAGTAGTTCTCCAGTGATAACGATAAAACTATGCCCTGGTCTAACGTCCGGACTAATAGAATCTACCCCTACCCTCAGAATGTGTGACAGAGAAATCTCTAACCCGAGGGGTGATTTTTGTTGTTGTCTAACACATGGTTCTGCCGAAATTTAGACTACAAAAAATCACCCCGAGGGTTGGAGATTTCTCTGTCACACCCTCTGAGTGTAGGGGATGATTATTTTTCTCCCACCCTATTATTTACGCCACGGCGTCAACAAAAGAAATTCCCATTGTTGTTTATATGAATATAAAATACCTATGGGACGAAAAGTGTCATTTATTTTCCCCATCCTAACATTTGCACCTACTCTCGCCACACTTCCTACTTTGAAGTTCACGATTGATACCAATTCTGTCATGTTCAGTTTGGATTTGCTTCAGTATACCGATAGCTAGCAGACGATGTTTGTTTACGATACAGAAGTAGTTCCGGTCGAACTTCCGGTTTAGCACGTGCTAATTGGCACGAGGCTATCTCCCACTAGGGGGTGACAAGCTGATCTTTCCTGGCTAAAACTGGAGACATGGCACGAAATGGTGGGAGAAATGATCGACATTTGTCTGGCGCAGTCAAGTGTGACCAGGATGA